TGTAATATGTGGGGGATTGTTATAATATATTAATATTATATTATTGCAAAAGTTAATGTGTGGTTTAAAAACATTAAATTGTGAGCTTTAATGTTTGGAACGTTGGGTGGCAACGTTCAATTTCTTTCAAACGTGCAAACTTGTTTTAATTAAATCATTTATGGTTTTTTAATTTCATTTATTTTCTTGATTCTTTCTAGCTCTATAAATAGGGAACTCCTCCTCCATTCCAAAACACACCAAAATTTAGTCTCTCTTATTCTTTTCTTTTCTGAATTTCTTTCTTTAGCTCTTTCTCTCTTCTAAAATTATTCTGGGTTATTCTTGTACTCTGTTAAAGAGTTACTTGCTAGTTCTGAGATCCTCAGACATTCTGAGAAGTTCCTGTTGTATCCTGCTGGACTTGCGCAACACACCGCGGATAGAGTGACTCTACACGCCTCAGAAAATAATATTTTGTCAGCTTTTCCAACATATTTGACTTTTAATGTATGCGTGTCTATCTCTTCCATTTTCATATCTAATAGTCTTGATCTATATTTTTTTATAAATACTTTAAGTCAAATTAATTACACTAATAGAATAAATATCTTGCAACGAACTGCTAAATACTAATCTTATTTATATACACTATTGCAAATTTGAAAGAGTGATGATATATAAAAACTTCATTTTTTATTTAATATCTATCGAACACTAATCAAATAATATTTTTATTTTAAAATATAAAATAATTTTAGATTAATCAATTAGAAAAATAAAAATATTAATTTTTTTTATTAAGTATTAGAAGGGTTTAGGAAAGTTGGAATATGTATATATAAATTTTTCCAATTTGAAATTTCGTGTCTACTTAAAAGTTGAAGGTTAACTTTATGCGTATTAGAGTATGTCATTTGTTTTTAAAAGTGTAATTTAAGTTGGAATGCTATTGGTTTTAAAAACTGTAATCGAAGTTTGACGTTAAATAAAATAGTATAGTAATTTAATTCTTTTAGAGAATAAATACTTCGAAAAAACGTGAAGTTAAATAAGTTAAGTTAATTACAATTTTTATCATTTCACCAATCATATTTTTTAAATATGTTTTTTATTTTGAATTATTTTTAATAAGTTTATAACTTTTACAAGTTATACTATTGCTAAATTTTTAACCAAATGATTATTTGCAAAAGAAGGCGACATGTCGTTTAGCTATTATTATTATTATTATTATTATTTTTTGATTTCACAATTTTATTTATTTTATTCAATTTAATACCACACTCAATAAGAATATTCATTCAAATTCCTTAATATTTTAAAACACGACAATATAATTAATAATAAAATCTCTAATAAACAAATATTAACCATTTTAATTTACACGGAATATAATTTATAATCATTGCATATTAATAATTTATCACATTAACAATGAGCTTTCAAGGTAGAAAAAGTTACACTGCTGTCTTTGTAAAATTTGAAGGATTTGCGTGAACCTTAAAATAATTATTATTGATTTTTTAAAATTGAGAAGTTTGATTATTTTTTTTATTGATAAAGAGATTATGTTGATCAAAATAAATAAATAATTATATGAAAAAGGTAATGTTTTTACAAAATGAAGTTATTTTGATGTTTTTATTTTCTTTCATAACATGTCATCTTTCCACATTAAATTTAAAAAATAGGTAACTTTACAAAATAGTGAAAATTTTTACTATTAAAATATTTGGAAAAGAATTTAAAAAATAAAATTCATAAAATGTTTGAACGATAAAATGTGCATATAAACGTGATAGTTAATGAGAATTTTATAAAAGCACTCAGGAAAACAAGTAGTGAAAAACAAATTTTTATGATGTGACCATCAATTTTCACTAAACACAGGCTCAAAATTGTATTCTTAAATCTTAACTAATTCGATAAAAAGAAAATCTAACTATAATATACAATTTCTGACTTCTTTATTAAACACCATTTTTTAATAAAAAAAAATAAAAATGATATAATTAAGAAGATTTGTTAATGCATTTCGAACATTATTTAAAAAAAATAAAAAAATTATAATTTACTGAAATATATAGGCTTAATATAAAACGTGTAATTGAGGTTGATTTCCCATGCCCAATTTAGAGTCAAACGAAGATGGATGATTGATTTTCTCTTTATGAAAAATAGGAATGTGCAAAAGTAGGGTTGTGCATGGCCGCAAGTGAAATGAAAGTCAAATACACCTAAGAATTTATTAATCGGCCAGTCTTTATTTCAGCATTGTATATCTCTAACAACACCCTAATTTGGGTTTTGAATCGCAGTTTTCAATATATATATAAATACCCTCCTTTACGTTCCATATCATGAGAAACCTTCATCAAACACTTTTACTCAGTTCCAAATAAGAAGGGTTCTTTATTTTCTTTTGTGGTGGCCGAGGTTAGCTTCCACACCACAGGAGTCAAACCTTGGCCGCGTAATTGAAAAAAAAAAAAAAAAAATATGGCAATCGGAAAGAACTTTTTTGTTCTGTTTTATTTGGCAGTCTTAATCCCTACCCTGAATGCCAATCCCTTGGAGGATGATCAGTATTGGAAGAACCATGAAAACGAGTTTGATACATACTGGAAGGATCGGGCACAAAAGGCTGCAGAGGACAATAAAGCAGCATACTTTGAAGATCCATATTCAGTCTCGGGAAACTTCACTTCCTCTGTCAGCGAGTCAGCTTTCTCATACCTTAACACCTTCCATTTTTTTTCTTAACAAGAATGCATTTTTATGTAACAGTTGCTGAATTGTGTTGTGTGTTTTTTTTTTTGACAAAACAGACTTATAGTTGGGAAGGATACGCGAAGGAGCTTGAAGGGAAAGAACGGTGACGGGGGGCCATGCATGGCGACGAACCCCATTGACAGGTGCTGGAGGTGTGACCCCAACTGGGCCAACAACAGGCAGAAGCTTGCAGATTGTGTTCAGGGCTTTGGAAGAAACACCGTTGGAGGAAAAGGTGGTCCGATCTACGTGGTAACAGACCCTTCAGACGATAACATGGTTGACCTAAAGCCAGGAACTCTCCGCCATGCAGTTACACGTAATGGCCCGTTGTGGATCATCTTTGAACGCAACATGATCATCCACCTGAAGCAGGAGCTCATCATGACCAGCAACAAGACCATTGATGGAAGAGGCGTTGATGTCTACATTTCCAATGGTGCTGGCATCACCATCCAGTTCATCAAGAACGTGATCATTCATGGAATTAAGGTCTACGACATTTCCGTTCATGGTGGTGGGCTGATCAGAGATTCTGAGACACATTATGGGCTCAGGACTCAGAGTGATGGAGATGGCATTTCCATCTTTGGTTCTAGCAACATTTGGATCGATCATGTTTCCATGAGAAATTGCTACGATGGACTTATCGATGCCATCATGGGATCCACTGCCATTACGATTTCCAATAGCCATTTCACAGACCACAACGAGGCGATGCTGTTCGGTGCCAGCGACAGCTACGATGCAGATAAGATCATGCAAATCACTCTGGCATTCAACCACTTTGGGAAGAGATTGATTCAAAGGATGCCCAGATGCAGACATGGTTTCTTCCATGTGGTCAACAACGATTACACTCACTGGGAAATGTATGCGATTGGAGGGAGCATGAACCCCACGATCATAAGCGAGGGTAACAGATTCATTGGCCCTGACAACATATATGCTAAGGAGATCACAAAGAGAGAATACTCTCCTGAGAACGTGTGGAAACAATGGCAGTGGAGATCAATCAACGATGAGTACATGAACGGAGCATTTTTTGTGCAATCTGGGCCTGAGCTTGTTAACAGACCATTCTCAAGGCTAGACATGATCAAAGCCAAGCCAGGAAGTTACGTCGGAAGGCTTACACGCTATTCTGGAAGCCTTAAGTGCAGAGTGGGTTTCCCTTGCTAATTCATTTTCCCATTCTTTCTACTGATCAGACAAAGCACTGCGTATATATATATATATATATATATATATATATATATATATAAACACGTTTATGCCATATATATTTTGCTGAAAAATCACAATTTATTCATTTCATTTTTGCCCTACTTACCTTTGGATACTGTCTCTTTTCATTTACTTCGTGCTTTCCTGTATTTAACTTTGAGAGATTCTAAACATCCTTTCATTTTATAAAAGGAATATTTTCTTCATTTGCGCCACTGGAAATCACAACTGTGCTTGAAAATTTACAGGAGTATTTTTCTTTCATCCAAACATAACTTCAATTTTGAGAGGCATTGCAGAAATAGAAAAATTTAATAAGGAAAGAAAATAATGGTTTTGTATTTTTTTTATGTAATCAATTGACAACTTTTATAATAATATAATCATATTTTAAGTAATTATGAAAAATCAATATATAACTATTCAATTAGGAAAAACCAAGTGAATAATATATTATAATAGCTGTTTTTTTTTTATATCATCATAAAGTTTTAAGCAGAGAGGAATTATATGTCTCATCTCATTAGCTAGCTTTTAAATTAGAACCATTATTTAGGTTCCAAGAGAGATATAACATTAATCACTCAGTATATCATCTTTCAACCAATCCCTTTGGTTTGTTGTTTTGTTGTGCAACCATATCTACTATCCCATCCCAAAGTAACTATTGTTTTCTATTTTAAAAAATTGAAAATAATTGAAGTTCTAAATTTTCATTCCATTATTAATTATTTTATTCTTATTTTATCTTTAAATAAATTAATTAGGTGACCACTTGCCCTCTAGTATTTAATTAGATAACGCTATCTATATTTGTTTTATCCCAAATAACGCTTTATCAAATAAACTTTATAAAAATATTATACATACACAACACTTAATTAGATATACGCTATTTGTTTTATGTTTTAAAAAAATAATTTTAGATAGATTAATAGAAAGTGTTTTTAGATTTAAACACTATTTATTGTAATATCGATAAAGAATGTTTAATTAAAAAAATACCTCTATTATTTATTAAAAGTTTTAGTCTTGTGCTCACTCACTCAAAAAAGAAGAAAAAAAGAAGCTCACATATAAGAGAAGAAGAAACTTTCTCAAAACCCTAATCTTCATTCTTCTCGCACTCACTCTCTGTTCATTCTCCGCCACTCATAGAGGAACATCAATCCATCGATGATGTCAAAACCTTATCCTCCACCACTTGCACCTCCTCTACATTGGCTTAGACTCGCAACCAAGTTAACTCCTAACCTCGTGCCCTAACATCGTCCCCTACGCATCATGCTCTACTTAACCCTAACTCATGCCCTAACCAAAAATCCTTATTAGCAATCAAAGTTAATAGAAGACGATAAATATGTGTCAGCGTTTTCAAGTGGACCTAAGAGAGAAATCCCTAACTAAAAGTCACAGGTTTAATTGAAGATGACGAAGGTTATTGATTTTTTTTGTTTTTCTTTTTTGTTGTGTTTTTCTTCTTTCCATTGAACCTCATTCCCAAGCTGTTATTGAATTTTGGGTGTTTCTTCTTTGTTGATTATGTTGAAAAAAATTGATTCAATTATTTGTATGTAAAAAATGCGATTACTTTGGCTTTTTGTGAGTTGTGGTGTTGTGTTTGTTTGCCTTTAAGTTGTTATCATTTGTATTTCTCTTACTATAATATAAATAATATGCATTGTATTTATTAAAATAAGCCCAAACTAAAAAAGCTGAGGCCCAATATTCTCTAGTCCAGAAACGTAAAATATCACTTTTCCTAGAAGCTTCTTTTGTCAGAAGGTAGGTGAGTCTGAGAATGGATATGCACGAGAGAAAAGAAAGAGCGAAAGCTCTCTAAGGAGATTCACAAGCGGAGGTGACAGCGAAGCTCGTTCCAATGGTTGTCAGACGGAAACGCAAGAGAAGATTAAAGAGGAAGAGGAGAAAAGCTTGTACTTGGAGGTAAGTAAAAGAACGTTTCTTGTATTCTGTAATATATGAATGTGCTGATGATTCAAATGCTTTTCTCTTCATCATAAAACAAAATGTTGGAATCCCTGTTTATATAGGATTCCAGTGAATCAGAAAAATGGGTTAGTTACAACCCATAACAGAAACATAAAAACGTAAAACTAAAAACCCTACAACATTAAATGTCGCTCTTAGGAGCAATTACTACGAAACAGAAATATTAATAGCCTCCCTTCAAGCTGGATGGTGAATATTCACTAATCCAAGCTTGGGGATGATGGATTTGAAGTGAGTGCGGTGAGGAAACTTGGTGAAAACATCGGCAAGTTGTTCCTCCGATTTAATGGGAAGAAGTCGTAGAAATTTGGCTTGAATCTTTTCACGTACCACGTGACAATCCAACTCGATATGCTCGGTCCGCTCGTGAAAGCTTTGATTGTGAGCAATATGCCTTGTAGAGTTGTTGTCACAGTAGAGAACGACATTAGCAATGGGTTGAATTTGAAGATCTTCAAGAAGGTAGTGAAGCCATTGCATTTCACAGACAGTGGCAGCTAGGGCACAATACTCTGCTTCAGTAGAGGACCTTGAAACAGTGCTTTGTTTCTTTGGCCTCCATGAGACTAGAGAGGTTCCTAAGAAAACACAATAACCAGTAGTGGATCTCCTTGTGTTATGACAAGTAGCCCAATCCGAGTCACTGAATCCTTTGATCTGTATGTCAGAATTAGTAGCAAAGAAAAGTCCTTCAGAAGGGCTGGACTTGACATATCTAATGATATGTTGTAAGGCTTGATAATGATGGTTAGTAGGTTCCTGCATAAACTGGCTTAAAAGATTAACAGTGAAACATAAATCAGGTCTAGTATTAGTGAGATAAAAAAGCTTCCCTATTAGTCTGCGATAAACACTAGGGTCATCCATATAATTCTCTGTTTTGTATAAGAAATTGGTGCTACTAAGAAAAGGTGTAGCGCATGGTTTGCTTCCAAGCATTCCTGCTTCTTTAAGGATATCAAGGGCATACTTTCTTTGACAAAGATGTATCCCTTTCTTAGATCTAGCAACCTCAAAACCTAGAAAATATTTGATTTCCCTAAGGTCTTTTATCTGAAATTGGTGATGTAAGAGAGCCTTTATGTCAGTGATTTCATTCATAGAATTTTCTGCTAAAACAATATCATCAACATACACAAATAAAGCTGTGAAATCAGTGGGGGTTTTCTTTATAAACAAGGAGTTATCAGATTTGGATTGAGTATAATTTGCAGAAATAAGAAAAGTGGAGAGTTTGTCAAACCATTGTCTGTTGGTCTGTTTCAGTCCATACAGAGATTTAGTGAGTTTACAGACCTGTCCCTGTGTGTTAGTATTTAAACCAGGTGAAGGATCCATGTAGACATCTTCATTTAGGTCCCCATGTAAGAAAGCATTATCTACATCAAGTTGATGTAGAAACCAATTCTTTGAGGCAATGAGAGCAAGTAATAGTCTAACAGAAGTGAGTTTAGCAACCGGAGAGAAAGTATCCAAAAAGTCTATCCGTTCCTGTTGGGCATAGCCCTTGGCAACAAGACGAGCTTTATACCTTTCCACACTCCCATCAGCTTTGTGTTTTATTTTGTAGACCCACCTACATCCAATGGATTTCTTTCCAGGAGGAATTTGAGTCAAAAACCAAGTACCATTGTCTTGTAACGCCTTAATTTCCTTTTGCATAGCATCAACCCATTCATGGTTGTTTCTAGCCTCATTATAGGAATTAGGCTCTTTGCTAGTAGTTATGGCAAGAGTGTATCTCAGATGTCTATTAGATAAAGACTTATAAGATAAAAAATCAGTGATAGGATAAGGAGTTTTCATACTATTTTTGATGCACAAAGAAGTAGATGAGGATTGATCAGCTTGGTGTATGTAGTCTTTTAGATATTCAGGGGTTCTCTTAACTCTGTTGAACTTCCTTTGATTGTTTCTCTGTTCTTCAGTGAGATTGGTGTTCTCAACACTGATATCAGTGTTATCAGCAGGTCTTTGGTCTCCTCTTCTATCCTCAACCAAAGCCTCTTCATAGGTGAAGGGTAAATTATCAAGAAAAGATGTGTTGCCTTCACTGTTACTTGAGTCATTCCTATTTCCTTGCTCATTCTTGTAAGGAAAGATGTCTTCATAAAAAATGACATTTCTGCTAATAGAGATTTCCCTAGTCTTGATGTCAAGAACAATGTAACCTTTTACACCACTTTTATATCCTAGAAATATATATTTTCTAGCTCTAGAGTCTAATTTATTTCTGTTACTTTCTAAAGTAGAAGCAAAACATAATCACCCAAAAACTTTTAAGTTAAGATAAGTGGGAGGATCATTATACATTACATCATAAGGGGTTTTATTATTAATAACAGGGGAAGTCAGTCTATTAATCAGGTATATAGCATGGGATATAGCATAAGACCAGTTAGCATAAGGAATACTAGATTGAAAAATAAGACTACGGGTGACATTTAATATGTGTTGATGTTTGCGCTCCACAACAGAATTTTGTTGTGGAGTTTCAACACAGCTAGTTTGATGTTCAATTCCATAAGAATTGTACATGTTGGAACAATTGAACTCAGGACCGTTGTCAGTCCTAATGGTTTTAATTTTCATGACAAAGGATTGTTGAAGCTCTCTAGTTTGACCCTTGTTGTGCATAAGAAAAGCCCAGGTATGTCTACTGCAATAATCAACAATAGTAAGGAAGTATCTATGCCCATGTATAGACGGAATAGAGATAGGACCCCATATGTCACAATGTATAATATCAAAACAATTTTCTGACAAAGAATTAGTTTTAGGGAAAGGTAATATGTGTTGCTTTGCATAATGGCAGATGTCACAAACACTATCAGAAACAATTTGAATATAAGGGAAAATCTTGCACATTCTTTCAACAATTTTATGTCCAGGATGGCCCAGCCTATAATACCATAGATTTATGTTTACATGCTCATAAGAAAAAACAAAATTAGGTGCCAGATCTCTTCCAACAGCCTGTAGGTAGTAAAGCCCTCT